GCAAGCATGTAGCGGAAAAATAAACCTATCAAACTAACTATATAGTGGGGAAAGCCTTGGTGAAAAGGTGCGTTTTGAGGGCTGTTTTGAAAGTGTCCAAGATTGGGGCGCTGCGGATTTCGGGGGGGAGAGAGTTCCAGAGGGTGAGGGATGCTACATTGAAAGCTCTGTTACCGAAAGTCCGCAACCTGGTGCGGGGGGTAGAGAGTTAATGCAATGCCTTTTTTCTCTGCATCCTCAGTGGACGACTTGCAAATATCCTGCTATCGTTTAATGTGCAGCATCTACTCTTTGGGCACGGTGAAGACTCCACATGTAGAGAAGTGAGTAAAGACCTCTGGATCTATTGAAGTCTTCAACAATTTGCATTTAAATGGGATTTGTATCAAGTTAATTTAATTGATATAGCCTAAAGTATAACTCTTTCCCTTGATTAACATGAAATACTGCACAACCTTTAACACCAAATGTTAATGAGCTTTTATGGCTTGATTATGCATTGATTTATACTTGGTTTAATATAGACATTTCATAAAGGGTTTTATATTTTTCTCTTGTGCAGACAGCGACCGGCTCTTGGCGAGTGTTTGGCTCACTTAGCAGCTGCCATGCCAGTGGCCTTCCTGGAGCCATCCCTGAATGAGTACAACATGTTCTCTGTTTACACCACCAAGACTCCCAGAGAGAGAACCAGTGGGTTTTTCTCTTACAACAATTATAAGAATCAGTTCATAATCAAATGTTGCCACTTCATATTCCACCTGTCTTACACCCTCCGTTCTCAGTTCTGGGTCTCCCGAGCCAAGTGGAGGAGCTGTGCCCGGACATCCCCGAGCTAGAGGTCCTGTTGAAGGAGATCCACGACCTGGCCGAGTCAGGGGCTCGCTACACAGAAATGCCCCATGTGATTGAGATCACCCTGCCCATGTTGTGTAACTACCTGCCCCGCTGGTGGGAGAGGGGCCCGGAGAATCTCCCCGAGCAGGAGGGCCAGGTCTGCACCTCCGTCACTTCGGAGCAGCTCAACCAGCTGCTGGGGAGCATCATGAAGATCGTCGTTAACAACCTGGGTATAGATGAGGCCTCCTGGATGAAGAGATTGGCAGGTCAGTCATCAGAAGTTTCACAATAAGTCACAAGGCTGTTGGTCTTTAGTCATGAGGCGCTTTCACACCAAGTACTTTGCCGTACTTAGTTAATCAGAACTTAGTTAATCAGAACTAAAGAGTTCATCAGAACTAAAGGGCAGATCGCGTTCACACCGGAATAAGTCCCTGAGGGAGGATTAGGCAAATGAAGCCACTGACGTCACTTCTTCTTCTGCTTTGGGTTTACTGGCAGGCCGCAAACAACTTCACAGCGTATACTGCCACCCGAAGTCCCCGGCCAGAAGTCCCCGGAGTTGGGTAATGGCTTCCGAGTAAATCACCAGAAACGCCGACACCTCCTCAGCTCCACCGCTCCCATGTTTTCTTTTGTGTTGCCATAAGTTAGTCTCTCTCCGTTTGTGCGCTGCGCTAATGCTAATGCTAATAATGCTAATGCGAGGAAAATAAAATGGCGGCTTCACAAAACTTTTTGGGAGTTTTACGGAGCGTGGTTTGCAATCCGCCCAGCCAATCAGTAATGGGAAATTTTTTTCTCTCTAGCAGGGACTGAAAAGGGGGTGAAAAGGTTCTCATGAACTAAGTTCTAGTTTCGGATACGCATATTTTCGGAACTATATCGGAACTATACTGGAACTATACTGGGAAAAGTACTCCGGTGTGAAAGCGTGTGGTGCAGGACTGAGTCCTAAAACCCATAAATGAGTTAGCATTTTACCACTTCCTGTCCCCTCACCTCGAGGTTACTGTTTTTGTATCGTGTTTTTGGTTAGATGCCCTGAAAAGAAGGTATGTGTTATGCAGCACAAGCTTTCAGAGAGATATCACTTGTTGTTCTACCGAACAAAATACGCTCCAGTAAAATAACCCCACTGGTAAATGACCTAAAATGAGACCACTAAACT